CCAACCAAATTTATGCCCCAAAGTGTTGATATTGGGGGAGCTTCCCTCTACCTCTCTGCCAACGTCAAGTGGGTGTCCTGGCCAGAGCATTGGCCTATCTTGCATGTACACCCCTCAACGTTACCCCCTACCTGTGAGGGTTTCCCCAGTCCCCCTCCATCCCGGGGTTGGGGGCCCGGCCTCAGTACCCTCAGCCCCGTGGGCCCAGGTATCTGCGTCCCTGCAAGGCCCCCAGTGGTGGGGGGGGGCAAGAGCTCCCACCTCTGTATCCAATTCTTTGGAATGGGACAGGGGGTGCAGGTGGCTAAGGCCAAGGGGGCTGGGGTTCCTCCTGGCCGGGGGTGGGTGGCCACTGCCCCCAGGGCACCCCTGAGCAGAATGGGGCCACACCGCCGCCAGTCCCACACTGTGCCTTCGCCGTGGCAAAGGTAGTGTGTGTACCTCACCTGCAGCCCGGGTGCCGACGGGATGGCCGAGGGGCACCCAGGTCCTGGAGGGAGGGCGGGCGCGGGGGTCCCTCACGGCATTCCCCTGCCCTCCGGCCACTTTTTAAACCAGCTTCCAGATGGCCGTGCAGACGGGGCGTGTGGAGAAGGGCCGCGCCCAGGAGGGCAGTGGGGTCTGGCTGCAGCCACACGGTGACCTCGGACACGGCCCACGTGCTCGCCGCCACCAGCACGCCTTCCAGAGCCACCAGGGAGACTCGGCCCGCGCTCTGTCGCCAGGCCTCACTGATGGGGAAGGCGCGGGCCTCTCCGTGTTACAGGGACACCTCACGCCTGACCTCCGACCTCCGGTTCTCAAGAGGCACCCAGGAGACGGGGCGCCGTGGGATGGAGCTGGGCGCTACCCCAAGGCGCGTCTCCCATGAGGGCACGGCCGTTCCCTGGGCTCTCTCTGGGCAAACAGTCGGCCTTCTTTTAAAACACGTCCTTATATATCGTAAAATACGCCTAACGTAAAATCCGTGGTTGTAACCGCTAAGCGTATGGCTCGGGGCGGGAAGCACAGTCACACTGTGGGGCTCCCGTCCCCGCCGTCCGTCTCCAGAACCTTCCATCTTCCCACACTGACGCTCTGCCCCCAGGAAACACTAGCCCTCCCGCCCCTGGTGCCCACCCCGCCACTTTCTGTCCCCACGGATCTAACTCCCGCAGGTACCGTGTGTACGGGGAGTCCTACAAGACCTGTCCTTTGGGGACTGGCTCATTTCACTGAGCACGAAGTCCTCGAGCTCCGGCCATGCTCCTTCCTTTCTAAGGCTGGATAATAGTCCATCGCATGGAGGGCCCCCGTTCTGCGCGTCCGTCCATCTCCCGATGGACCCCTGGGCTGCTTCCACCGCTTGGCTCCTGTGAGCGATGCTGCCGCGAACGTGGGGGGGGGGCACAGCTCTCTCAGCCCCCGCGTCCAGGTCCTCGGGGTGCACACCCAGAAGAGGAGCTTCTGGACCCCGTGGTGGCTCCCACTTACTTCTGGGGAACCCCACACGGCTCCCACAGCAGCTGCCGCATGTCACTTTCCCCACAAGAGGCCCTCCTCCTCCGACCTCAGGAGCAAATGCCCCTGGAGCCCTACCCACCCCCCATGGTGCCACCTGCTTTGCAGTCAGCCTGGGCAGGGGTGTGGAGGGTGGGGGTCATTTAGAAAGAATTATGGTCCCAGATTCCTGAATTCTAGCATAATCAGCCCAACTAGGGGAGTCCCCCACATCCACAGCAAAGCATCTTCCCTCAGAGGCTGTTTCTACCTCACCTCACCCCAGATTTACTGAGCTCTCCAGGGTGGGGGGCAGGACAAACTCTCCCTCCTCCTCAAAACCCCAGCTGGAGGAAAGACCCCCCTCCCCAGCTGCCGAGGGCAGTCAAGGCGGAGGAGCCCACCATCCCCTGCATCCCCGGGCGCTTCTGTGCAAAGCCCACCAGCCTGGAGCGGGCCTCAGCCCTCCCCCAACCCGCCCATCCGCAGCCCCCTCCCCCAGGCCTGGTGGGCCAGCCCCCTCGGGTGGTGTGAGCCAGGAGCCCAAGGAGTTTCCCACACTTTGGCCCCATTCATAGTGTTAAACGGCCCACAAAGGCCAGGCGTGTGCCCTGGAAGCCGCAGAGCGGCCATCTGGCCCGCACGCGGGGGGGTGGGGGGGCAAAGGTTCTCATCCGGCCTAGCTGGGCTGTAACACCGCTCATTTCATATCTCCCACAACTGAAAAATGGACCAAAGCTTCTCCAGTTCAGGGGAGGAGGGAACAAGGAGGCAGCGCCCCCTCCCCGCCACAGCCCACTCGCCACCCTCACCTCAGGCAGGCCACCTGGACCCACTGCGGGTGGGTGGGCAGCTGGAGGAGGTGGGAGCTGGACCACGTCTCCTGCACGTGTCTCATGTGGACCAAGAGCCAACTTGGGGGAGGGGGGTGAGGGCAGGACCCAAGCCCCAGCCAACTGCCCCTCCCAAGCAGGGGAGGCAGGTGAGGCTGGGAGCGGGAGGGCCTGGCCTGAGGACTGCCCTCACTTGTGGTCAGGGCCCTGGGACCCCCACGGCTAGCAGCCAGGCGCTTAAGGCACAAGTGGGCTTGGGCCCGTGTCTAGCCAGCGGAGGCCATGGTCAGGGTCAGGGTGGGCTTGGGGCTTGCTCCCTGCCTCTGCATTCCCACAGCCCTTAGCCAAGCACTTCCTTGGTGCTGAGTCCCTGGCTGGTAGGGTGTGGGCAATGGAGACACAGGTGACAAAGCCATCCTGTCCCTCCCTACCCCAGCTTACCCCCAGGGAGCCCATAAGCAGGCAAGGGACACACCAAAATATGACAACTGCCCAGCATGAGCCCCATCTGGGCTGCAAAAACTGCCCCACGAAGCATCACTGAGTCCCCCTCGCAGCGTGCAGGACCTGCCAGCCCACATCAAAGCTGCTAGTCACGGTCAGTGTCCAGGGCTGTGGAGCAGAGGGGTGAGCTCGTGGCTTCGGCACGCCCATCCCCAGCTTGTTCAGGTGTCCCCTGCTCTTTCGCATCAAACTAGAGCCACATATCTGGAGTAGGGTCCCATCTGCTCAGAGAGGAGCCCCAGCTCAGGGTGAGGCTGCCCCAGCCCTCAGGGTCACCCGTCTCCCACAGACAGCCCAGGACCTGTGTCCCCTTCAAGAGAAGTGCTGTTAGGAGGGAGGAGGAGGAGAAGGCACCAGAGGGGTGAATAGGGGCTCCCTACCCTCCGCCTCCAAAGTCACCTGAAGGTTCCACTTTGGGAGCTCCTCAGCCTAACCCACCCCAGTGGGTGACCAGCTGGCCCATGGGGCAGTCCTGAGCTGGCTCCAAGCCACGCTCGTCATGACACCATCCTGCACGCTCTCCGGCTGGGCCCATTGCTGGGAAACCAAAGGCTCCTTGTATACGGTGGGGGGTGGGGTTGGGGGAGGGGGGTTTCTGGAGCAGGTCCACCAAACAAGCCAGTCATAGCTGTGGGTCACTGCCAAGACCCTGGGAGGGGGAAAGATCTGACTGGACCCTTGTTAAAGCCCTGCAATTTCCAGCCACCCCTGGACATGCTCCTGGATTCAAACTCTGGCTAATGTGCCCTGATGCCACCTGCCGGCTCCCGGGACAGAGGCCCTGCCTGCCCTTGAACCTGGCCGGGTCCTGCCCTGCCCCAGGAGGAAGCCCCAGCCCCTCCCTCTCCCTCCGTCCCTGCAGGACAACTGGATTCCCGACTTCAGAGAATCAGATGAAGATGACTGCTCTGGGCAGAGGGAGGGCTCCCAGAGAACCAGGGTAGGGCTGGTGGCCCCAAAGCAGCGGTCGGACCTTGGCTTAGCTGGCCAGATACCAGGATTATCAGTTCTCCCAGTGAGGCCCTAGGGGGCTGTCTGAGCTCATGCAGCAACCGTGTGGGCTCCAGCAGGCTTGTCCTGCTCTGACCTCCATGCCTACCACCTGGCACCCTTCCTCCCCACCCACTGGCAAAATGCCCAAGGAAAGCAAACCCTACAAGTGCCCACCAGGCTGGGCGGAGGGCAGCGTGCAGCAGAGGCTATTCCCCAAGTCTCACATGTGTAGTGCCCACACGTGCGTGTCAAGCATACCCCTGGGGCCATGTGCTCTCCTGTGCTCTGCAGACGGCCATGGCCTTCCTGCCAGATGGGGTAGGGTGGGGCCCCGAGGAGCACCTGCTGGTGCAGAGCACCCCAGATGCTACTGCCTGATAAGCTGCTCCCCAGAGGATGGGGTGCAGCAGATCCTGGGGGGAGTGCCTAGGTGCCAGGCTCCATGCTGGGCATTTCGGGTGCTCTGCTTCCCTGAAGCTTCCCCAGGCTGAGCCCAGGAAGCATGGCAGCCCACTTTCTAGCTGCGGAGAAGTCACGTGTCGCAGGTGACAGCCTGGGACTTATCACCTAGGCCAGCAGGTCTGATCCCAAGAGCTTGGGTCCTTCTTTCCCCCTCAGCCTGTGCACAGGAAGAGTGTAGCCTCCTCCATTCTACCCGCCCTGGGGAGGCGTCAGGTCCCTGTCAGGGAGGGTGCCCAAACCACTGGAAGCCACTGCACTAACTCACTGGAAAGCTTTTCCCCGCTGAGCCTCTGCCAGGCAGTGGCGAGGAGTCGCCAGGGGAGGGGGAGGAGAGGGGAGAGAGGGGCCGGGGAGGGGCAGCCCTCTTTCCTGCTCCCCGCCCCCCCATCCCCGAGGCCTGGGAAAAGGCAGCATATTGAGGCGCGGGGCTCCCAGCATCAGGCCCCGGGATGCTAATGAGGGCGAGCACGTTCCCACAGCCCGGACATTGTGCGGAGCGGCCCACCTGCTCCTCAGGGAGCACCCATTGTGCCCGCGCCAATTCACAGGCAATTTAGCGTGCGCTAATGGGCCGGCGCCTTTGTGCGGCCCGCCAGGCCATTGGCCGCCGAGTGTGGGAACGGCCGCGGCGCCCGGGCCCCAGGCGTCTGCCCGCCGCCGCGCCTATATATGGCCCGCCAGCCCACCGCCCGCCACTCCCCGCTCGCCAGCCGCCTCCCTGCGCCAGGCATGGCCCCCAGCACCGTGGCCGTGGAGCTGCTCAGCCCCAAAGAGAAAAACCGAGTAAGTGCGCCGTCCACCCGCCCCGCGCCCCCGCGCCCCCCGCGCCCGGGCTGCTGGCTGACGCCCGTGTCCCCCCGCAGCTCCGCAAGCCCGTGGTGGAGAAGATGCGCCGCGACCGCATCAACAGCAGCATTGAGCAGCTGAAGCTGCTGCTGGAGCAGGAGTTCGCGCGGCACCAGCCCAACTCCAAGCTGGAGAAGGCCGACATTCTGGAGATGGCGGTCAGCTACTTGAAGCACAGCAAAGGTGAGCCGCCGGCCCGCGCCCACCCACCCCCCCCGAGCGCCCCCCCCCCCCCCCCCCCCCCCCCCCCCCCCCCCCCCCCCCCCCCCCGCGCGCCCCCGCCGCGCCCTGCCCCCACCGCGGCCGGCGGGGGGGTGCCCCCAGTCACCGCTGCCCTGTCTCCCTGCAGCGTTCGCCGCAGCCGCCGGCCCCAAAAGCCTGCACCAGGACTACAGCGAGGGTTACTCCTGGTGCCTGCAGGAGGCTGTGCAGTTCCTAACGCTGCACGCAGCCAGCGACACGCAGATGAAGCTGCTCTGTCACTTCCAGCGTCCTCCCGCTGCGCCCACTGCGCCTGCCAAGGAACCCAAGGCCGCCGGCCCTGCGCCCCCGCCCGTGCTCACCCCTGCCAAGGCCACCGCAGTTGCAGCACGCCAGCCCACTTGCGGCCTCTGGCGGCCCTGGTGACCCCGCGGGACTTGCAGGTGGCCACCCCAAGGACTGGAGGGCCAGCCAGCCTTTTCCTCTGGCCATCCGTCTGTCCCTCCCGGGGCTTGGACAGGCCCCCTTCTCCAGAAGGCTCTCTCTCCAGGCTGGCGGGCCAGCAGGAGGGTCATTCTCAAGAGAATGTGCTTGCAGAGTCCTTGTCATTTAGGACAATCAGGGCCCACCTTCTGCCAAGTGTCTGACTCCATGGGGTTGTTCTGTGTTTGCATTTCAGCAAGTGACTTCTGGGAAGTCCCCGCCGCCCGGGGTTCTATGATATTTGTAGGTGTCAGGGGCTCGGTCAGCCGGTGCCTCCACGTGTAGAGGACTTTCTTCAGGGCCTGCTGCTGCTGGGCCAGGGGGCCTGGCGGGTGGGCCGTGCCGTGGGCACATTTGCCTTTTGTGAAGGCGGAACTCAAGGTGTATCCTCATAGGAAAGAGTGTCAGCCTGGATGGGCACAGAAGCACCATGCAGAGCCGTGGCCGAAAGGCCCTTGCGTGCACTTGGTTGTCTAGTTGGGGCTCATAGTGGGCTTTGTGGGGAGGGTGGGGGTCTCCACCATGATCCTCAAAGGATCCCTGTGTGTGGGTGGGCGCACGTGGGCATGACTTTGTACTCGGAATTTGAACCGTCCGTCCCGTGGGCGCCCACGGGCTGGCTCTGCAGACTTCCAATAAAACCTGACCAAGCAGCCCTCGGGTCTGTCTGTTGTCCTGTACATGTGTTCTTAGCAGCCGCCGGGGGGGTGGGGGTCTTATCCGCCGGGCGGAGGGGGGCCACACTGTCATGATATCCAACTGTGGGGGGATGTGTCTCTGCCGGTGACCCTCTGGACAAGGCAGAAGGGCTGGTCCTGGCTGGGGGAAGGAGGGAATGAGGACAGGAGGCAGGCAAGCAGGGGAGAGGCAGGCTGGAAGGATAACAGGCCCCATAGAGCCCATACCCCCACGTGCAGCAGGAGGGGATGCAGTGGGAGACTGGGGTTTCTGTCTCGGGCCTCTCACTAGCTCCCTGCAGGTGGGGGCCAGGGGGAGCAGTAGAGTGACAGCTACAGGCCCTTCCAGCTCTGTCCAGCTGAGGGGGTGCGAAGACCACAGCTTACAGTGGAGCTCTTGCTGCAGCAAAAGGGCTTTAGCTGGGCCATACCCACGGGAGAAGGTGTTTGCCTCCGCCCTGGCCTTCCTGCCTGGCCAGCAGCCCCTGTCCCTGGGTGAGCTCCCGGGAGCAGTGGCTTGGCTAGTCCATAGGCGGCTACCCCGCCCTCCCTGCGGGCCAACCGCTCCCCAGGGCTGGAAAGGGCAGTGCTGGCGGTGAACCTGCCAGGGACGGTCCCTTGGCTGGTGCCCTCGGAAAGGGCACCTATTTTTAGGCAGGCTACTGGATGTTGGTTGAGTCTGCAAGAGCCTAAAAGGGCCCAGGCTTGCCAAGAGACAAATCCACCCACAGGGAGTGGAAGGAGCTGGACGTGGGACCAAAAGCCTTCCACATGTCTTCAGAGACATGGGGCCCAGCCCGGCCGTCCTTCCTCTTTAGCGCGCCTCTCCCCGCCGCCCTCTGGAATCCCTTTCTGCCCACTCTGAGGGGAATCCGAGGTGCCCTCTCCAGGCCAGCCCTGCACCAGCCACACGGGTCCCCCTTCATCCCACACGCTGACTGCATGGGAGGCAGGCGTGCCAGTGAACTGGGAGGGTGGTGTGCCTCCTGGCCAGGCCCACAGCCCCTCAGGGCCCAGGGTCCTCGAAGCTCCAGGCCTGCGTCCTCTGGGAGCAGACCCTCTGCCCTCTTCCCCACCCCCCCCCAGGCCTCCCCACCCAGCGCACCCACCCCTTAGAAGATGTTCGCAAGGCTGCCTCTCCAAGGCTAACGCACATGGCCCCCTCCCCTGATCACCCCTGGACCTTTCAGTTTCTGCTGCTCCACAGGCCTGTGCTCTGGAGGCCTTGCCACGCAGCCGGTGACATGCTCAACAGAGGCTGAGGTCCAGAGACACAAAGTAACCCGCCCAAGGTCACCCGGAATCAGTTGCCAAAGCCACCTTAAGGGCCCTCTGTCTGCCGCCAACACTGTCTGGGCTCTTTCCTAAAGCGCCCAGTGCCCCTGAGGGAGACACATCCCTCAAGGGTCTCCTGGGCATCAGAGGCTTCCCAGCGACTGGCTCTGAAACCCATCCCCACCACCATCTGTGTCCACGCTCCAGCTTCAGGAATTGTTTCAGCTGGTTCTCTGCAAACTCCCATAGACTCCCTGTTTTGCCAAAAGGCGGCCTCCTCCAGGCAGGCTGCCCTGCTTTCTGCTGCGCTCTCTGCAGACCTCACCATCAGAGTGAGTGTCTTCCCCAGCTGCATGCAGGTGCATCATCCACCGTGCACTAGGGGCGCCGGGAGAGCAGGGCCCCCTACACCCCCATTTTGCATGGGGCTTTTGCAACCCACAATCCTTCGTTCCTAGAAAGCCGGGCTGGTGGGTCACACGCGCCTTGATTACAACTGCACTCATTGACAGAAGCAGGTCTTTGGAAACCCAGGTGCCTCATCTGCACTGTCTCAGAGCACTGGACGTCAGCATCTGGCCAGCTCGCTGAAAGAGCAACAAAGACAACAGTCCAGACGTTTTGTGTTGGGCCAACGGCCTCGAAGACCCCCGCGCGGGCAAGTCCAGTGGCCCTCCAGCTGCCAGGACCACAGGGGCGGGCGGGGAGGGGCGGGCCCGGGTGCTCATTAGCATAATGTCTGCGCGGAAGGCGTTTAGCAGTCAAATATATGCGCATATATCTCCATAGATGATTAGGCTGGCCGGGCACATTCAAAATGGCGGAGTGTGGAGCGAGCGGCAGCGGGAGCAGCGGGGACAGCCTGGACAAGAGCATCACGCTGCCCCCCGACGAGATCTTCCGCAACCTGGAGAACGCCAAGCGCTTCGCCATTGACATAGGTAGCAGCGGGCGGGCGCCGGGAGCGGGACGGCGCGCGGCGGGCGTGGGCGCCGGCGGCGGAGCCGGCGGCCCGGGGGCGGTGGCAAGGACGAAGGGCGGGGCGCGGGCCGCCGGCGCGCACAGCCTGTCGGACCTTGTAGTCCGCGGCCCGCCGGCGCCCGCGCTCGCCCCGGCGGCCGGACTACCACTCCCGGCAGGCGTCGCGCGGCCGGAGCGGGGCACGCCGGGCCTCGTAGTCCCGCGCGGAGAGGCGGGCGGCCCGGCGGCCCCCCGGTGGTCCACCTCGGTCGAGTCGGCAGCCGGGCGGGGCCTGTGCGGGCCATGAGAGGGGCCCGGGGCCGCCGACTGGGGCCGCGCCGAGGACGGAAGGCGGCCAGGCCTCGGGCCGCGGGAACTCTCGGCGGGCTGCCCGCCCGGGCCCAGCCCGAAGCCCTCCCGCTGCAGCGTCTGCTCCTGGACGGCTGACATTTGGCGGGAGTTTGGAGGACCTGGACGTGGACCTTGGGGCACTTGCTGGCAGCCTTCAAAAGCCCCCCTGTGCCGCGCGGCCCGCAGGAGTGCCCCCAGGGCCCCGCCCAGCCTCCGTCCGACCTTCCTGCACCAGGCCCGCCCCGGACCCTTGTCCCGCACTGGCGCCCGACACCTCCCAGCAGCCCCCTTTCACAGATGAGGACGCTAAGGGCAGAGAGGTGAACTGAGTTGTTTAAGGTCACCGGCTGTAAGCGGCCAGGTGGGCCTGGAATCCGGTCAGCGTCGGCACTCAGCTCCTCTGCCCGTGTGCACACAGGAGATGGAAGGCTGTGTCCTGCTGCGTGAGGCTAGGGGAGCAGGCCAGGGTGGTCTCAGCCCCCCCCATCAGATCTCTGCTGGGGCCTCAGTTTGCTTGTGCCTGCCAACAGCCGAATGTAGGCGCTTGCGCGTGGTCCCAGCAGGGCAGCCCCGGGCACTTGTAAGACGCGACCTGTTGACGCTGGACAAGTGTGCCTCTCCTGGAACAAGTTGGGCTGTCCTGGCAGAGCCGGGCGTCCCCTTGGAGCCTCGTGCATGTGATGCTTTCGCCCCTCCCCTGTTCCTGAGAGTCACTTTAGTATCTGGAGCTAGGGTGGGGGAGGGCGGCCTCCAGGGAGGTGGGAGCCATGGAAGGGTGGGCTGGATCTTGCCTTCTCACCTCGCCGACCGCTGGGTTGTGAGCAGCCCCCCGTGACGGTGCTGTGGAGCACTGACCTGGTGGTAGGTGTGAGAACAACCCCGTGTGGAGCAGGGCACAGAACGAGCGTGGATCCTGATAAAACGTCGTGCCCGAGTGCGTGTTGGGCTGGCGAGGGGAAGCTGAGAGGCCCAGCTTAGGGAGTCCTCCACAGCCAGGCCTCCCAGGAGGCCCCTCAGGGCCCTGCTCTGCGCATCTTCTGAGACCCGCCCCTGCCTCCATGTGACCACAGCCGGGTCCGGTGTGTGCTCCAAGGGCCCAGACTTGGTTTTGCTGCACTTACACTCAGGGTGCTGCTCCTTGGGAATGAGTTGGCACTTAGCGTTTCTGAGGTGCAGCTGAAATTGGCTTGCCGGCTCAGGGTTTACCCTCAATGTTCTTTGTGGCCCCCGGGGGCCAGCTTGGAGCCACAGAGTGCGGGCTGTCCAGGAAGAAGTGCCCTGGCTCCAGGGGGTCCTGGGGCCGCCTGTCCTCCGGTGCCAAGCCCAGGCGGGGTTCCTGGTCAGGGCAACAAAGACAACAGTCCAGACGTTTTGTGTTGGGCCAACGGCCTCGAAGACCCCCGCGCGGGCAAGTCCAGTGGCCCTCCAGCTGCCAGGACCACAGGGGCGGGCGGGGAGGGGCGGGCCCGGGTGCTCATTAGCATAATGTCTGCGCGGAAGGCGTTTAGCAGTCAAATATATGCGCATATATCTCCATAGATGATTAGGCTGGCCGGGCACATTCAAAATGGCGGAGTGTGGAGCGAGCGGCAGCGGGAGCAGCGGGGACAGCCTGGACAAGAGCATCACGCTGCCCCCCGACGAGATCTTCCGCAACCTGGAGAACGCCAAGCGCTTCGC